CTTACTTCATTGCAACTGGGATTCTTGTGTGTACAACTTCGGTAGTGTTTTACGAGTTGGTACCTTTGTGTTAACACGGGACCATTCGATACTCCAGGAGCACTTGTCGCTTGCGATTGGCATTTAGTGATGTTTCAAAAACCGGTCACTGATGTAATGAATGCGACCTCCTCGTTTCGCATTTGGCGCCGGGCACTGAACAGTGCGGGACCTTCACCCACTGACAGAAATGCAACTGTTGCAGAAGAAACGCCCTGGCTGCTGCCCCTAATAACAGTATGAGCTGCAGGAAGTACTACATGATTGGGCTGAATGACTGGGGTTCCTCGGTTTCTCACTTAACGGAATGCAGTGGAGCCTTCGTCGATCGGTTTTGCCTAACATTTCTGCTGCACAGTCGTATAACATTGTAGCTGTATATGTGCAGCCAAGTAGCTCTAGCGGATCCGGGGAACGCGCTTCTGACCTGTTGCAACTGTAGCGGCTATCACTGACCACTGTTAGCCCAGTCTACAAATGATGCTTATCAAACCAGCTGACCAGACAGCGCTGACCTCCTTATCAGCGGGTGAAAAAAACCCCTTATCATAGTGATGGCCGCGTCATTGTTAAGTTTTTCTGGAACTGATATGTTTAAATAGTTGGGTAGGCAGTAGTTCATAGTCTGTTTCTGACCAATTCTGCGGGCAACATTTCCATTTGCACGCCCAGCGCTACTTGGTCCGGCGAGTGATATTCGTTTTATCTCGAGAAACACAGTATTCTTGAGCAAGGACGCTCGACCAGGTTTTGGTCTTTCCGAGAAGTCTTTGGTTTATGTGTGTATCCCCTCGGAAATTGCCACCTTTTGACCAGTTTTGGATATCTTACTTCAGTAAACAGCATTCCTAACCCAAAGCTGGCGAAACGACGCTCACTTTCAGATTGATTTGGTTGAGCAGGGGGAGTTGTAGCCTGCGACCTCGTTTCTCGACAAGGGAATCTCGAGAAACGAGGTCGCAGGCTACAACTCCCCCTGATTTGAGGGAATCTCTTGTTTGGAATTCATAATCGCTGTAAACCAAATCTGCTTGTATTGCGTATTGGCTTTTTCTCGTCGCTTTTTTACCGAGATATCGGGTGTGGGAGAGAGAAAGAGAGAGAGAGAGAAGTGAAGGCGACGGCTCGTGCTGCATCTCGGCAGCCTGCCTGGTCAATCCATAGTGCTTGTTGCATCAGTGCAGCTTGACTAATGTTGCATGAACTTCCACATAACCAGCTTGAATGTGCCAACAGCGATTTCTTCAAGCAGTCTTGAAAGCTTTGTAATTGCTCCTTCAGTCAGCGACTTATCGGGTTTACTGGAGGTGTAAGTGGTAGAGGGAGGGCGTAGTTGCGCTTCCATTTTCACTGCACAGGCATTGCGAAGATCGTTCGCTTGCAGAGAAAATCTAATACCAGACGTGCGAAATTAGCCTAAGTGATTTAAGATTTAATGGGGGAAGGAGGAATAGCCGGTAAGAAGGAGCGGAGGTCAGATTTTAGCCAAAAAGAGAGCACAAAAATCAACGAGCTGCTGAATTCAGCGCCGAAAAATAACATACTTTAAGCAGGCGGAACATGAAAAGGGAAGGGCAATGCATCTCACCCTTGCTCGTTGCATTGCCCTTACATATGCGGCGAAGCAAGAGAAAAGGCTGGAAAATGGAATGCTCCTCCATGTATAGCTGCGGCGAAGGGGGAGGCAGTAGTTGCGCCAGGCTTTTCTGTCTGTGCTTTTTGCTTGGCCACTGCTCAGATACTTGCTGGCCTGCGATAAGCTCGCAGCTCTTGGCTTGGCTGCTCTCTTTTGCTGGATGCCATGCTGTTATCCTCGCTTCTCGCGAAAAAAAAAGTCATCCCACTGCTCCTGTTCTTTTTATTGGCATCTTGTTGCAGGTACTTGGATTCAGCTTCAA